CAGCGGCGCGGAGCGGACGGAGCCGCGCGGCGCGTATAGCTCCGCGAGTGCAGCGCGCCGCAGCCTCACGCAAACAAAACTTTAGTTACTAACCTACTTCCGTGCGGGCGCCAACCGCGGTCGCGACTCCACCGCACTGTAGTACTGGCGAGTACGTACAACGCTTATCTATGACGCTCAGTGATGAACTGTTTCACGAAAACACAGAACCTGTTGCGGTCTACCGCCCGTTCTGAATGGACACTAATGTTATATGCAGGGGACGTTTGAGCGAAATGTTTTACGGTGAGACGATGTGCACAAGCTTTTTGTCCTTTTAAGATCGGCATGCACTTTTTTTAATCGTTTTTTTTTACCAAGCGGTCACGCACACACCTATAAAGCACGTATTTGTTTTCGTATACGCTCTAGCTTTTTTAGCGATTTACGTTTTGGCGCCATTTGTTGAACACGATTTAATATAAAAATATTCTGACTGTAAGAACTTTAAATAAATAATAAATAATTCAACATCCACGCAAAGATAAAGGGTCAACTTATAATACTTCTGAGGTTCAATACGTTGCAAGACAAATACCGGTTATAGTTATTTTTATCACATTTACATACATTATATTCTATCGATACATTCTATTAATTGTTAACTTAAAACAGTTGAACTTGGTGAGCATCTCAGAAGTTTGTTCTAGAAACTTCTAGCGAACAAACTGACATTCACTTTTTGTCATTATTGAAATAGATAATTATTTTCATCGAATTTAATACATCTATTTTATTGGTTTTGAATTTATTACACGCTTTTTTTCTTTTGCTTTTATGGCAACACGTAGTTTTTGTTTTATTTTGTTGTTGTTGCTTGTACAAGTAAGTGTTGCTAGTATTCAAGTAATTTTAGACTTTTATTCGCCATACGTCTATAAATCAAAAAATGATTAGGTTTACAAAACGTCTATAAAATATGCTTAATATAATTTTATACTATTCACTAAGAATAGCTAGCTAATCGAAAACTGCTTTTTACAATTAAATTTTATTAGTTTTAAAACAAAGACAAGCATTTTTTTGCGTTGCACGTGCTGCCCTCTAGCGGCGCATTTGATAATTATTTTTCAAACGCAAATGCGAATTTATATTTTGTGCATCTGTTAAAACTAATGATACGTTATTTAAGACGAGTTTTCAGGCAAAATGGCGGTTAGCATATTGTGGTTAATTCATGATATACTAAAGTTAAGCTAGCGCTTTGCAAACTTAACTTCAATCATGCAAAATCCAATAAAAAATAGAATTAAGTAATCAACCCTTTTTATTATTAGGCAATTAAAATTGGGTGTGGCACAAAAAATCTTGCTGCTTCAATGCTGCTCCTAATGGTATACCGTGTATTTGGAAGTAGTCAATAAAGGCCAAAATATCTTATTCTATATAGTTTATTGTTTCAACAACAACCTTCTTGTCATTGATATCTAGAGGGCGCTCAAGTCGCTATTAACGGTTCACGGTGGCGCCCTCTACTAAATCTTGCCATTTACTTTCGTAGCGTTTCGACGAAACTTTAGTTTGATTTGATTTTATTTTACAAAGAATTTCAAATACCACTTTTTTAACGATGTACCTAATAGTAAATTTTAGAGGGAATATAAAATGATACATTAAGGTCGTTTTTAAATTAACATGTGTCGAAAAGTTTCATGATCTCATAGTTAAATATATTTCAACGGTTAGCAACGTTAACTGCGGTTACGAATCAACCAGATTATCGTCCGTTGGATACCTACCAACCTACTTTATAATTTCTTGGTCACGATAATTAGATAAAAAGTTAAACTTTTAAATAATTTGGAAGATAATATAAATCAAATAGATAAATTATAGAACAGTTACTAAATTACATAGTTTTTGAATTTCACGTTCCAGTAATCTAGAATAGATCTATAAAAAACATTTAATAAAATACATAATGTATACAAGTTAAGTAAGATAAAGTACAGCATCACAATTAGTGCATTTACAAAGAAATATCAAGATGTGCGTTAGTCGTAAGTTTACATGTGTGCGTGCGAGCGTTGATTGAGCGTTGATGTTCGCGCGTTTTTTCTGAAGAAAACGCAAGCGCGTTCGTCATGTGGACTCTCAAAAGAAACTAGGTCGGTTCAGTGACCTATATGTTTATCTAACGATTGTGCGCCGGTCTCCGCGCCTAGCGCCTTGCCGCCTTATCATATCGCGTTCGCGTTTTGAGTTTAGGTTATCTATCGGGCAACCTGTCTCTTGCACTATTCCTATAGATAACTGGTGTAAACAATTTTTTAACATACTTTCATATGTACATTAATTAGAGATTTAGTAACAAAAAAACACACGTGGTTACTTATTTTTTACTAAGTAGAAAAAACTTACTGCTAATTACTGTTTTTTTTATTTAATTAAAATAGGACATTACGATGAATATTACAATTAATTTAAATATTTTATAACTATCTAATAAAAGATGGAATTTTAGCAAGGAGTGTTGTCAGCAGAAAAGGTTTTTGTCTTACAAATGTTAAAGAAAAAAAAAGTATTATACTTGTTGTTTGCTTGAACTTTCACTGTCCTTGAGAAGCGCGCTTTAAGAACTGCCAAGAAACATTTTAAATAATAATTATTTCAGTACTCGTGGTTGTTAATAGAACTGTTGAAATATTAAAAACTAATAACTTTTCTGCGCGTCCCAGTTACAGCAACGGTTGAGATTTCTAATCTTACCTCGCTTGCAACAATGTATTTGTTTTACAAAAAACCTTTTATTAATAACCCAGTAAAACAATCTTCTCGTCAAAGATCAATTCAGGAATCTCACTTTAACTAAAGAGTTCCTTTGCCTCTTTACAAAATTTCTTCGTATAAAACAACGCTGTTTATCTCTACTACGTCACGGATACGTTCTATAACAGGGGTGGCGAACATTTATACATCAAAATGCCATTTTTAAAAGAAAATTTTAATGCGGTCTTAGACGTGCCATCGAATAATTTTGACCACGATTATTACGTCAATTACATGGCGCATCTACTTCATATTATTTTCGTAGTGTATAGTGTGGTTATCGACGCGCCCAAAAATGACCAAAATGTCGTGTGTCATTTATGGCAATCGTGCCCGTGGTTTGCCTCCCCTGTTGTATAAGGTCTCTGAGTTCGTTTCAAATTCACGGTTCAAATTATTCCATTCAATTCATACAACAATTTTCCCCACTTCTTTGTTTTAATTTGAATTTTGGTGAAAACAAAAATACAATTAAAATTTTAAGCGGAGATTATTTTTTACGTTGCAGCGCACACTTTCTCTCAAAATTATGCTACGCTTAGGTCATACTGATGCTCTTTTGGATAAGATCCCTCTGACATGTCCGACACTGACTGCCAACTGTTATCATTTGAAGACATCTTGAACTTTATTGCATTACTTTTAAAGGTTAGATTTGAGTAGGTAGAATTAATGAAGATATACGGAAACTTTCATCGGGCAGTTTTACAACAGATTGATTTTTTATAAGTAAATTTGAAGAACTGGCACGAGTAGCACTTACATATGTAAAAATTTCCCAATAAAATTTTATAACAAAAAATTATTAACAAAAACAACTGGGAATTAAGTTTTTTTTTATAAAAAAATTGTCGCCATAAAAATAATTATACTATTAGAGATCAATTTTATCTGATATAGACTAAGTAGACATCTTAAAAATTAACATGAATAAAAAATAATATATTCTGACTAAAATGTTTTAAGTGGATTTTTTTTAAGAGAAATGTATTTTATTACCATTTTACACCAGATTATAACGCGCCTGTCAAGGACAGAGAAAGTAGAGAAAGGCTATATAAAGTCAAACTGCCTGATTTTAAATTTCTTATATAATTTGAAGACTAAAATTTAATTATTTAGTTATACCTGATATTCGTTTAGATATAAACATGAGTTTTAATTGTGACATATCGATATATATAAGGAAAATATAATGTAAACTATGTATACCTATAAATAACCACATTATTTGCTCTTGTTATATGCTATTGTTCTACTTTATATGTATAAAGTTTTATGAAATAGATGTTTTGAAATAAAATGTATGTAGTACTTGCTACCGAAGTCGGTACGATATCTTGTTGTTATATCGTTCACTTGTTCTATAAAAAACTGAGTAAAATCGTCATTTACTCAATAATCTAAAATAAATTGAAGTATCAAAGTATTAGATTTTGTTCGGAATGTCGATGCCAGCCAGAAAACATACATTAGAAACGTAGGCCATTAGCAATTAGTAACCCAAGCTAGTTACCTTCGAGCGCCAGAGGTAGCCCTTCATTTTCGTTAGCGCCGTCTATACTTTACCTTCGCGAAGGTAAACGCTTGCTTACCACAAAATCATAATTCACGTAGTCATTTTATCTCCCTCGTGCTCGTAACACGAGCAATTACAGAGAGCGAGATGGAGCTAGTTAGATACTGTTATTAGCTGATCTAACGCGCACCACACCAGGCGTAAGGTCGCTCGGACAAAACGTAGATGCGTCAACGAACGCTGGCAAGGTGACGCATTGTCACTAGGAATGTATTATTGTAATACTATCGATGCTAGGTGCGTAATAGTGTTGCACGTTGAAAAATTCATTTTATTCATAAACGTAACGGATACATATATGTAACGGGTTTCTATTGCTCATTTATTCAAATGCGAAATATTAGTACAGGTGAAAATGCATCCAGTTATTTTCCGATGCCTTGGAAACGAAAATACGATCGCATTTACAAGTTAATACCTTGTATTTGTTTAACCTAAGCTTGTAAGTTGATTGCGACATTTGAATTTATATTATTACTGATCTTGTGTCAACAAACCCTTTGTTTCTGGCCTAATGCTCATTGTCATTTTGTTACTGCTCATAATCTATCCGGACTTGAATAAAGTTGTTATATTGTCATGAGGGTGTGTAAATTGACAACGTTTCTTTGTGAAATACGTTTGCACTAAGCTCTAAAGATAGATTGTTAATATTTTTATTCAGAAATCTCATCAAAATTTTATCTTTTTTCGGTATCAAACTAATCATTAAGTTATCGTAAAGTTTCTATATCATTACATATTTATAATAATATAAATTTACATTAAGCTCCAATCCGGAACTACCATTACACTCAAGTTTAACAAGTATGCAAATCGTAACAGAGCTTTTAATAATTTCAATGCAATCCAATAATATTCTCGCTCCATATTTATTTTTCTGTCCGATATTTCACGTACAAAAAATTTTTAGACTTATGTAAATTTATTTTGTACAATATTGCTTATTTTTTCATCGATATTATTTTTTTTACTTTAAAATTTTTACGGGGAATTCCGTCATACATCATTACAATAAGACGAAAGTTAAAAAAAAAATCGATTTGTTCTCATTTTGTTTGTTGCCAGTTATTAGAATAAACGGTTGTTTAATTGAAGTTTTAATTTATTAACATTAAACTGCACTAACTTGTAGTTGTTGACAACCGCTGTCAAATTTATAACGCCATTAGATAAAATGTCACAATGCTTAGGAGCCGTAGATTAATAGTTACTATTAAATAAAATTGTTTTTTGATAGGCTTTAATTCAGTGTCTCGTTCAAATAGAAAGTCGTAATTAACCTATTTTTGTCATTAAAATTCGCGAGCTTATATGTCTAGATAATGTCTGATAGGAATAATTAATGTCTGAAACTAGGATTCTAAAATTTATTTTAAAGGCAAATCTTTTAGAATTTATTTTTAATGAATTAAATTTACTAATTACGAAGTATATTTTTTAAACTACTTAATACTTGATTTTAAGCTTTAATTCGTTTATTCCAACTGTTTTCATTAGTGAAAAAAATTGCAAAGGATACATGTGACCTAGTTAATGTAATTCTGTTATCTTAATTAATAATTAGGGACAGTTACTGGCTGCAAAGAAACGATTTGTCTTTTTTTTATTCGACATCTTTGTATGATTTTATTTTGAGATATCTATGGTCGGTGTATTATTACTCCGGCTTTCTTATTAAATTGCTTTTTGCATAGATATTTTAATTATAATTGCACGGAAGTGAAATAAGTGTAGTTAATTTAAACATAGTAAATTACACATAGTACATTAGAAGCGGACATAAGTAGGCGTTCGCCTACAAACATCCGCTCAGGTCTACTAAAATCATATTATACTAACAACGAATCATGTTTCTAACCAAATTCACATTAAGATATCAAAGTATCCGTTCAGTGGAGTTAGGTGTTTAGGAGTCCTCTTATTTTGAGTTTAAATGGGCAAATGTATAAATGACGAGCTTTTTTAGTTATGTTATGAATTTCTTGGATGTATATATACTTGTTTTTAGATTTTTTTTATTTAATTGGCTTTCTTTGTACGCATGATATGTTGTTTACGTCTTTATTATATTAATTTAATTGGAAATACTCATTAAATCGCAAAATGTTACGCATTAATTGAATATAATTTTACGAGTTTTATATAATTTAAATATACGTAACATCACTGTTATTTAAATTTGTCTTTAAAATTATATTACGAAAAAGGAAAATCACCACAGTAATGAATATAAAATAGACAACAGTTGTCGAGTCCATGACTTCTCGATAGCATTGCCGTTGTCTCCTAGCAAAGGTTCAGCCACAAGGCCACCGTTCGCGGCGAGCGAGCCTGCGTGGGAAATAACAGTGATATCACTTGCTTAGCTTAAAACAAATAACTAGCAAGGTATCACGCTCCAATAGTACTGTATTGTTGCATAACGTTATGTTTGCATGCAATTGCCTACATATTCGATGTTTGTGTTAGAATACTGGCAACTTACTAATTGGTTTTATTCATAACTTTCATTTTAAAAAATTATTATGGCTAATACAAGCTTAATGCTGCCAGCATTATGCACTAGGAATAAGTGTTGATTTCTTTTTTCAATATTGTGTCAGAATTATTTACCAGTGCTAATGTAGTAAAGGGTATGGGTTATCTTGATATTTGAGTTCTTAAATTTTATTGTGGAAAGTGAACGGAAATATAAATAGATTCTGACCTTTCGTTTAACTGGATGAGTCAGCTATAGTTACGTGATGTAACCCTCTGTAGAGGCATGCACTCATGCAAACAGCAAGTTCCTTATGAATGTGCTTATTATTATGTGTGTGTGCTGTTGATGTAAGCACGGACAGTGACCATCGAAAGAGAAAGTGGTTGAGTATCAACGCTTCACTACGGGATAGTGATGTACAATTACTATTTCCTACTCAAAACATAACTAACATTCCTTTTTTTTATTAATTTTAATTGTTATACATCCCTAACAGCTATGTATTTAATATGTCATAAGAAGTAATTATATCCCAAATGTAATTTATTTTCATAAAAACTCATGCATTTAACACAATCGGCTTATTTCAAACAGGTACTGCCAAGGCAAGTCAACAACGTAAGTAAATATGATTTAAGTTAAATGTTGTGTGCTTTAAGAAAAAAATAATATTCTAATAATCAAGTAAGTAAAATTTCATTAATTTGTTTAAAAAAAAATATCGATAAAAAAGCTTAAGCGCATCACTAGTTGTGAACGGTACCGTGACAAGTCCCACGGGATGTACCGTAAGTCATAAGTCACGTTTTACGCGCGGTACCGTTGCGCGGCGCTGCGTGCGCTCGCGCAGCCTAGACAGGCAATTACTCTCGCTTTCGATGCCACAGCTTTTTATCTGCCCGAGCGCCGCGGTAATCTCATAACTTTCTTTCGCCGAATGCCAATGTTATTCACTTTCAAAAAAAAATAAAAATAACATGATTTCGTTCACTTCCGATTATATGATTGTTGTTAATCTGATTTTATTTCGTTAATTCTTATAATTTAATTTTAGAATCGTTCTTGACGTTTCTTAATTTAATTATCTTATTTTGTAAAGAAACTCATATTGAATTACAAAAAAAAATGTTTAAATATATACATCGATTGAATTTCGTAACCAATCGTCAGTTAAACGTATTTTTTATTTGTGGGCTAAAGAAGATAAAAATCTCATGAGGCAAGCATTCAAAAATGTTTAAACCTTGACCACGGGTGGCTGACATTAAAAACGCGTGCGCCTTTCACGGCTCCGTCAGGTGGACGTTGTATAACTCACTTTCCATTTTCTTCAACTCGAACTTGTCTTTGGGGTAAATATTTATGGTACTATAAAAGAACCATATAACAAGGGTAAAACAAAATTAAGTTATTAAGAATTAACCAAACTTTCAAGTACGTTGCTCGCAATAAAATAAAAATCGTACTACAAAATTACATTTTTATGTACGATTACTTTAGTTTTTCAAATATCTTTTGATTTTTTTCTAGTCTATTGAAATCAAATTATACAATATTAGTATTATGGTTGTTATATTGAGTTCGACAACAACTTTAATATCAAAATTATTTAATTTCGTTTAAAAACAGGATAATTTTTTAAGTGTGCGTATACCAATTCAACATACCTTTAAAATAAATCTCGACACACTCGAACTTGGGTATTTTTAGAGCGTACCTTGCAACTGCTTACGCCACTTCGCGAAGTGGCCGCATGTCGCGGCTAGCGTGTGGCAATTTTCCCAATTCGAAGAGAAGCCAAACCTTGACCTAGGAATTAAATGTTTCGTCACAAACGCTCAGATCGTTACATATTGAATTTTTATATGCCACGTTTTTTATAGTACAAGTTACCGTGAATAATCTTACATTTGTAAATCACGATTCATGGAATTTAGCGAGTAATAGATTTAAATATTTTGTTTTTCTTATAAAGTCTACTACTATTCGGCAAAGATACTTCTATCCTTAATATGTTTGTAAAAGTTACAATCAGGGTGCCATTTAAGCAGTATATATTTACCACCGAAAATAGGAGGGTGATCGATGTGACAAAAAAGTGAAGAAGAAATGGGAAGAAAATTTTAGGGAGAGCCATATACGAGTATAAGAAATAGAATAGAAGAAAATTTAACATGCGATATTCCATCTTAGCCACTTGAAAGCATTAGTTACTGGAGATACTTATTAATTCTAGTTTGCGTTTTTCTTACTTTGTTTTCGGTTACCTAAAGGTTTTATGTAAAATAAAACAAAATTCATTTTCTACCTATCAAATTTTAAAAAAATGTGTGTAGATGTCGCTAGTAGTGGCCACGTACGAGTTACCCATAGCCGTGGCAGCAGAGGGGCGAGCGTTGCGCCACCTCGCGCGCTTTACGCAACTCGGCCATTCACCCCGGAAGGTGTTTTCCTCGCAGTTTCTTTAGCAGTGTGTTAGTGTGGCGGGATCGCGTGACTCGGTTGCGTGTTGAGCAAGCGCCCTCTGGTGGCCGGATCCGAACCACTCTGCACTCCGCACAGACATAATTAGCTCATCGCATGTCGCGGTGTGCACCAGATGCACTCACTCGAGCATTTAGAAGAAATCACAAACAATAACAATTTAGCACCATATTCGCTAGTTGCACTCCTCGTTCCAAATCCAAATTCAGATTATATTCAGCAATCGAACTTAGAAGAAATATCATTCTGTCTCAGCGTTCAATTACACATTGTAGGTAAACCTATTGCTATTTTGAACCAGAGTTCAAAAACAAAACAGAATCAGTGTCATGAATCAGAATTTTAAAATCTCAATTCTGTTGGAACGATGCGATTTGTCATTCAGTTGTGTCTGGAGGGCCGGCGGTCGCCAAGGATCGCCGGGCATTTGTCACAAATATTTCCACGCGACGATTAATTCTCGAGGCGGCGTGTTTACGGCGTGGCACGGTTGCGTGCTGCACTTCGCTGACAGACTGACCGAATTACTCATATAGCTACGAAATCAAACAATTATACGATTACAGAGGAAGTCAGTTAAAAATGATAACAATTACGCCGTTACAAAATACAACAATACACGAGTAATAAGTTAAATCCAATTAACTATGTCGTATTTTCTTTTTAGTTTTAAAAACAAATTTAAACAACATGCTTTTCTTCATTTCAGACAGATCTAGGTAAATTCGAAATATTAATATAAACAAAAGAAAGTAGGTATGTAACTCTATATGTCGTAAAGCTCGTAAAACTAAAGCTCTCTTTATTGATGCAGTGTTATTCAATATCACTTCAAATTTAAGTTGCATAACATCTTAAATAACCTTATTTTTCTGAACCAAACCAAAAACAAATTGATTATTTAACCAAAAACATAAAACAAAAATAAAACTTATTTATTATTCTGCAATAACACTACAACGTTAACAAGAAGCCGCACCCTATTTCGGTCAATCTATGAAAGTCTTCGCAGTGTTGAAATCGCAAAACAAACTGAGAATTCAACAGACGTCCAACTGCTAAAAGCTTCGATTGCTCAAACTAAAATTGAAATGCTGTTCAACGATGATCGCGAGATGACGATCTTTCACTGTAGCATTGTTCTCCGTTGCCTAATCACAAGTGCTAATACTTGTAAATTAAAACATCTCTTTAATAAAGTTGTCCCAAATAAACAAGGGTAAAGACCTTTTACGTAATCACGTTACGCAGCCTGGTGAGAGGCAATGTCAGACATCGCAATCGCTATATTATTTTGACAAACAAGTTCCATACGAAAACAATGACTTTAAAAAGGTGTTACATCTGCTACTTACTGACGGAACGATCTCGTACATAATTTTTGCGACAATATGATCACAATGGACAATAGCACAATGAATTTAAGCAAAATTTTTATTTAACCCATGAGTCGACTGCCATCGTACGGGTGACTACCAACATAAAAAATGAACTTCGTGATTATAACTTGAAAGCATACAATCCTAGCTTTCGGTTCTAGGGCCTGTCCCACCAAATTGTAAATTGTGTGATAACAATCCAACGTGTAAAATATGTAATGGAAATATCGGATTTTGTTACCTTATCTGACAGTGACGCCATTTTAAGCCTCTTTCAGCTTGTGGTGGGACAAACCCTTAGTAATTTATCTAACCCCGGTAAGCATACTTACCAGCCGCAAAGGTTTTCGTCTCATCTCCATCCAAGTGTCTAGTTAATAGAGTCACTGTGACAAAAAAGCAAATTGATTGCACACATCAATTTAAGTAAATAGATCACGTCGTTAATGATTTATTACAATGGTTTTTGTGGTCTTCAATGTAATCGTTTAAACTTCAATAATTAAGTATATGATAACATGGTACACTTCTAAGAATTTTTTAATAATTCCGGTATTTTACTCAATATTTTCAAACGGATAAGGAGGAAATTTTATGTATGTAATGAGGTACCAAGGTAAGGAAAAGTTTTAAAAAAAAATGTGTCTACCATTTTTCGTGACTGCTTACATTTCACAGATCAAGGTTTCTCTAGCGTTTAGTTCTTCTTTTGTTTCACTGGCGAACACGCCGAAAAAGGTCAATGAACAGCCTCGATATTTCTACAATCGCACCTTCAAATGATAAGGGCCTGTGTGCAATTAGCTTGCCATTCTATTTACTTTATTATGTACAATACATAAGATTCAAATTGCGAACCACCAACTGCATATACGAGACCTTCCATTGTAGCCACCATTTGATAAATGTACAAATGAAATTCGCCATAAACAACCTTTACAGTATTTAAAATTGAACGCTTATGTGTTAGGCTAGTGGTATCAAAATACCTTGTTAGTATTTGGTTTTTGTGTCGGTTGTTGTTTGCGTACAATTCGGTGGCGACGGCAAAATTGTTAGTTTATCATTCGCGCGCGTTCTTGACAGCGAAAAAGTGAAAACGGCTGCGGCCGTGTTGCGAAACTAGGCGGCTAGCGGCGACGCGATGCGGCACTGCCACATAAGTTGCCGACCGTAACTTACCAAACTTATATAATTGGAAATGTACTGTGATGATGCTAACCTAATGTGTCACCAATTCTAGAGTTCATTGACCTTAGCCTCAATTTAATAGAAAAGTATGTTCTTATTTGATTATTTATAGAGGTTATTTATCATCACACTAAGGAGCCTCATTAACAGTAGTTTGATGGAGAGTAAACTTATACAGATATAGAAGATTTTGTATTATTAATACTCCACACAAAACTTTCTACGATGTCGAAAATGATGATACGAATGTTATAGATCATAATCATGGCCTTTAAGCTTTAAAATTTCACTATTTTAATGTTTCAAATTATAATGAAACATCAAAAAAGATAGTATCTTTTGGCAATGTGTTCATTTATTGTTTTGTCCCACAGCACCAAAATATAACTGTTCAAAGGAGTTGATGTATGTCATTGACATCAAACTATTGTTTATTGTTAGGGATGACCCATTCTAGCCAACTTTGTGGCGCTCGTTAACTATTTCCTGCATCACTTAAAACAAAAAAAAAGCTTGTCTATTGGAAAATCTATTTAAACAAATTGATAATAGAACCTGTATCAT